TTCCCCCAGACTCTGTAGAAAGGAGACTGTTAAAAAGCGGGAACTCAAGCTCCTTGCCGAAATTCAATTGAGCAGGAGTGAGACCCGTTGACCGATTAGTGGCCGTACGGGTTGCGAATGCCAGCTCGGGCAGTTTCGCGTCCCAGTCCTTGTGGCGCTCGGTGTAGGCCACTAGCATCATCTCAAGGTTCCGATTTACACTTTCCGTGATGTTTGCTTGCGGGTGGTACGGGGAAGTTCTTTTGTGTTTGATTCCCAGTACCGCGCATGCGTCCACAAACACCTTACTCGTGAGATGGGAGGCATTATCGCTTACAAGCTGTGCAGGAAAGCCGAACCTAGCGAATGTTTCGAGCAGGGTGTTGGAACGAAATGTTTTTCGTTCCGTTTTCATTTTCGTTCCCTACAAAAAAGTTCCGTTCCGTTTTCGCTCCGGAACGAAAAAATAATGCTCCGTAACGGTTCGTAACGGTTTCTTTCTATGAAAAAAAAAAAAAAAAAAAACAAATCTCAGCAAAAATTAAAAGGAACGTAACGTTTATTTTTACACAAAAATAGATAATTCAGGCGCTCTAGAGGAATCCGCGGAAACGACATTGCTTCTGAGATCATGTTCATTTCCTTGAGAATGAGATCATGATCAATAAGGCACCGAGCATGATCTCAGAAGCAGCACGTCATCAAGTGTGCTCGGTGAAAGGCAAGACCTCTGGTCCGATAAAATAAATTTCAGCGCCGAGAAGGCCCTGAAGGCCCATAGGGATGAAGAAGTACACTTTTGCAACAGAGTCTCAGACTGCCGAATCCGTAGAAAAACAAAAGATGGACTTCTACAACGCCGGGTCACAAACTTCCCGCGCTTGCCGTGATCTATTGTCTGTCTGTGTCGTCCGAAGACAGCATGGAGGGAGAGGGCGCAAGAGCCAAGGAGAGCAATGCGAGCGTGTGGAGGCGTCGCGCCACCGCGCTCTCATTGGTGGGAAGCAATGGCGCCTTGCGTCATGTTTTTTGTTTCTCGTTGTATTTTTTGTCTTTGTTTTTGCTATGCTTGTTCGCCCGGAGTTTAGACGAGGGGGCGATGGCTTGCTTGTCTTCTCTTTAATTATGGTACAAACCAACGGCTGTCTCTTCGCTGCGTGAAATGAATTACTGAAATAGCTGATATTTTCCCTTGAACCGAAAACCGATAAGAAATTTTTTCGGTTTCACTCCGGAACAAAATAATAAATAACGTTTCGATTACGTTTCCGTTCCGCCAAAAAATATCGTTTTTTTCGTTTTTCGTTTTTGGTTTTCGTTTTGTTCCGATACCCTGGTTTCGAGTAGACACTCCCAGATTTTTTGCGAATCTAGCTTCCGCAAAGGGAATAACTCGACCCACTTCGTGAAGTGGTCGGTTACCACGAATAGGTACTGATTGCCACGGGTATTACGTCGGAAGGGGCCCATGACGTCACAGCAACAAATCTGCCTAGGGCTGTGACTCACGATTGGTTGCATGAGACCGGGGGACTGACCACCACGTGGTTTTGCCTTCTGGCACACCGAGCAGCTACGAGCGTATCAGAGCACATCCTGCCTCATGCCTGGCCAGGTAGCAATTTGGGATAACTTTTCGTAAGTTTTGCTCCCACTGCTGTGTCCTGCCAAGGCAGAGTCATGCATGTATCGGATGAAAAGCTTACGTAGCTTGCGGGGTATCACGGTCCGGAACGCCGACAGGCAAGACGTCTGGCACCGTGGTGAAGTGGGCTGCAGTGGTCGGGTTAGGGATGCAGTCCTCCTGTTTGGTAAACGGAGTCAGCTCCGGTTGTTGTCCCAGCCGGTAGCCACCACCAGAAAAGTCGAGCGTCATGCTTTCGCCTGTAATGAAATCTCGGCCCAAGATCACAGGTACCACGAGTCCTGGTAGATAAAAAAATCTGCTGACGCCGTTTCTTTCCATTAAACCGAATCTGCAGCCTCACGGCTCCTCCAGCTGTTATCGCTGTACCAGAAGCTAGCTGCAAATGAGTTTCGCACTCCCGGAGGCTTATTTTTTTTTGCTTTGCAGAGTTCGAAAACGAAATCCCCTATGAGCGAGATAGCGGCCCTGGAATCCAAAAGTGCAGCAATGGGAAAACCGAGCAGTGAAATCGTCATGCGCGGTTCAATGATGTTAGGCTCGGGCTGGATTCGACATACCGATGGAATCTGCCGCGGCCTAACCGCTTCCAGGGACTGTACCGGCCGTCGGCGAGTGGCTGCCTGGTTTCAGCATCGCCGGCCGTAGTAGTTTCCCTGGTTATGGTTCCGGCCCTTTGTCGCCGTCTCGTGCCACCTCTTGTTTGTAGTGTCCAGAAGCCTTGGACACTGCTTTCGATGATGGCCGGGCTGCTCGCACTCGTAGCAGCTGTCCGACGACAGTTGCCTGCTTAGGCCACCCGCACCGAGGTGCCCGTCGGACCGCGTCCAGTGATCGGATAAGGAACCACTATGGGAGGGCCTCCACCAGGCTTGCGACTGGCTGTTGTCAGGAGGGCTTGTTCTGTTGCGGCGGGGGTTAATGCTGCTGGGCTGCGGGTTTGCAACCGCACCGTGCCAGTTTTCGCCAGCACTTGCAGGAGCAGACTGATGAAGAGGGTTCGCTTGGGTGGTGATCTCCGTTGGGCCCCAGCTTACGATAGGGCACGGCCAACGACCTCCCACCTGTCGTGGCGACCCCCGCCCGAAACCCTCACGGGCCTCGCTGTGACCTCCGGGGACCTCTTGGGGAGAGTTAGGCGAACATACGCTTATCCCGCACGGGAGATCACCATGCATGCCACGCCAACTCTCCTGGTTGACGTGGTGGGGAAGGGAGGTCTCGTTCGGACAGTCCACTTGCGTGGAGGCCTCGGGGCCCCGCCATGCGCATGCCGGTTCAAGCGCGTACTTGGCTGGTGGCGGCGGCACGTGGTTCCGCTCGGCATGAAGAGCTTCCTCGATGAGGCGGGCGCCCCGGGCTAGCTCTTCAATGGTCTCAAAGGTGCGGTTGATCAGGTAGACGTGGTACCTTGGGTGACACTGTCTTCTGACCCGAGCTACTCTGTCCGACTCCGGTGACTTCGGGTCCGCCCTCTTGAAGAGCTCTTGCATGACCCGAACGTACCGGACCAGACTTTCATCCGGGTGCTGCGTCCTTGCCTCGAGCTCTCGGAGAATCTGCGTCGCGTAGCCTGCAGGCAGGAACTCTTCTCGAAGCCTTGTCTGGAAGTCCGCCAAGCTGGTGAAGGGGGCCTGTGACCCCAACCTGCACCTGGCGCTGGCTTGCAACGCCAGCGGGACAATCCGCTCCACGATGAAGGCTTCCGAGGCACCGGAGGCAAGGTGGTACGTCTGCAGCTCGCCCAGGAAGTCTGCCACGGACTTGACGTCGTCGTACCCCATGTAGACCGGAACAGTCAAGTCTGGTCGGGGCTCTCGCGGTGGGGTCTCCTGCTGGCCAGGCGTGTGGGCCAGGCGTTGCATCACGGAGTCACACATCTCCGTGACCTTTGTGAGCAGGTTCATTTGTGCCGCTGCGGCCATCACGGCTTCCTGCTGCCACGTGAGCATTCCTGCAAGTACAAAAAAGAAACGCCCCCCAAAAACCCAACACGAGCGCGCAAAACGATTGCCGCGGTCACAAAACAGACAGTCAGAAACGCCAATACAACAAACGCGGACGTGACGGAAGCACGGAACGACGATAGGAAACACGGGGTATGGGAAAAAAGCTTACCGAAAGAAGAAACCAAGCCCCGTGAAATTCCAGCGAGTGGGTAGCATACCACGGTTGGGCGCTATTGTGGTCGGTTTGCCTTGCTGCATACCCGACCCGGAGGAATAACACGGAGCCAACGGTTTCAACAACAAGAAACTATATTTAATTGGACACGGACAAGACAATTAACATTGTTACCGGCGCTGCCGGAGTCCAGGCAGCGACTCCCTGTGCGCCGCCCCTGATGCTCCTTATCAAGGCGGCGCACCCGCCACGCGGGAAAAGTTCGGCACCGTTGCCTCGCAGTCGGGCAACTGGGCTGGGGAGCAGCCAGGGTGCCCACAGTTCTTTACAGGGCATAAAAACAAGAAGCCAAGAGTTACCTGTTGCAACCATTTTGGGTGGCTCGATGCTGGCGCATACACGCAGCTGGGCTATCTGTGTTGAGCTCAGCTGGTCAATTTATAAAGCTTACGAGACACGGGAGGGAGGCTCTGCTTGGTTGCCAGCTTCGATATACTACAGATGAGTGACCTTGATAAAGGCCGTTTAAATGGGGTTCTGCCAAACCTTTCTCAAGGGTAGTGCTAAGCACTACGGCTAGAGAAAGCACAAGCTGTAGCAACTTTGTGGCTGTACCCTGTACAGCCACAAGGTTGCTGCACCCTGGTCTCTCTTTAGCCGTACCACATAATGCTCTACACTCGGTGATCCATGTACCAGAGGATCGGGGGTGTACTGGACGGTTTCCTGGCTGGAAAGAGATGAAGTGACTTATTAGGGTGCAGAATGGAAGGATTGATTTCAGATGCTACATAAACAATGTTTAATATTGCAACTTCAAATGTGGTCGATGCCCATGTCTGATTGCTAGGAGGAACGCTAGAAATGCATGCTTGGCTTTCTATACGTTGAAACTGTCGCGACTGATATTGAAACAAGTAATACAAAACTTGCCCATGTTGAATTAACCTGAGACTGGGGTAGAGAAGAAACATCAAAACGTGGAAGGGACAGAAAATAGACAGGACAACGTCTAAAACTCAGCTGAGTTTGAGATGTCGTCCTGTCTATTTTCTGTCCCTTCTACGTTTTGATGTTTCTTCTCTACTCCAGTCTCAGGTTAATTCAACTTGGTTAATATTCACCAGCTCGCCTGCATCCTTACGATTTTTTCTACAAAACTTCCGTCTATTTACATAGCTACGATTAACCACAGCTTCCATGTCAGTTCTTGATTGACGGTTCAAAACATGGACCGAGTAGTGGACCAACCTCAGCAATCCACTGGTGCGCAGTAGAGAGGAGGATACTTGAGGCCAGTGTATTGTTGAGAGGGGAAAGTTTTTCTTATTTTCTCCACAACGCACGCAGGCAGCACTCGTCTGTTGCCAGCTCCCAGTCGACCCCACATCCAGCGGGTGAACTGCCGGTATGCCACAAAGCGATACTTCCTGGAGAGGAAGAATAGCAATGTTTCTTGTAGAACCGCCACGTTCTAAGATGCAGCTGAGAGGCAGAAAGCAGGCCTCATCAGGTCTTTGATTTCCGACAAGCTTTTGAAAGAACTGCCGCACTCGCTGGTTTAATGAAAACGCGTTTAGATAGTTTATATTTTCATGTGTGATGAGGCTTTTTGTTTCGGGCACGGCGAGCCTTAGGAGCACGTAAAGTGTCAGCAAAGCGAACACTATGAAGGAGGTTGTGCTCTCTTGGGAGCACGTAAAGTGTTAGCAAAGCGAACGCTTGCTACAGAGTCGGTTGTGCTACTATGTATTTACCTGACTGAGTAATCAAGGATATTTGTATGCGCGCGATCACATTTTGTTGTTTCATTTTTCCGTGTTATGCTAGCACCATTTGCACTCACTCGTGGAGCTCATGGGAATGTTCGAGACCCTTCTCGCGGACCTCGCAGTATGCCACGGCGAGGACGGCGACGTCAAGGCACAACTTGAAGAAGTCGGTGTGCACCGTGATGCACTCAGCCGGCTGCTTCCGAACAGCTTGTGGCAGCTCACGGCAGCAAAAACACTCCCGAGTTGTAGGCATGGCCGTGCAGCGGCCGCAGTCGCACCTGGATTGCAAGCTTACTTAGGACCCAGCTTATATGTTTTATATGGTGCCCAAGGGGAACGCTCACCAGTTTGTATCTCCTACTCGCCGAGGTGGCTCTGGTGGCGGAGACGCGGGAGACGAGTCTTCCGCGGCTGTCGAAGCGGACGGAGGCAGAGACGCGGCGCGGCGCTTGCGTGGAGTGTCCTGGTCCTCGTACGGCGCGACGCCCAGATCCGCACTCCTTTTAAGAATTCGGCGCTCAAAATCTGATAAGCCCGGTAAATTCATCGATGATGGCAAACCGTTCTCCTAGTTCTCAGTTTTCCGGCCGCGTCAATGCGCATTCTACGCCCGGCGTTTGGAAATTTTCGGGTTAGCACGAAACTTTTAGCCTGGTGTTTACTTGTATGCCACGGAGCTATATTAACAGCACCAGGCAAATAGGCCTCGGATATTATGTCTTCCCGAAAGAAAGAAGCATGGCAAAGGTAAACACAACCGGACAAATAGGCCTCGGATATTATGTCTTCCCGAAAGAAAGAAGCATGGCAAAGAAAGGTAAACACAACCGGACAGGGCGGCAGGAAAATTAGCGTTTTACGATTTGTCTCGCGGTTGGCTTCATAATTTATATCCACCATATTGCACGTCAGCTAAAATGTGTAAGATTACAGGGCACGAGACATAGAGCGGACCAAAGTGTTCCGTGCGCTAGAATCTCTCTGAGCATTCGTTCCGTAGCTGTCTATCCGTCGGTCTGTCTCAAATAAGACCTCCGCACTGCTTTGCGGAGGCCATTTTTAATACACTTTTCGCTCGATGTATTTTGGTGGTTATAACTATTGCGACGACATGTTTCAAGCACAGCTGTGCTTCAAAAGATCACGACAATCACTAAAAAAGAGCAGCGATTCCCGATATGCATCGCTTGAAATAAAACAACTTTTTTTCGGAAGCAGTCTTCACTTGTTTATATATATATATAAACGTGAAAACACCACAGAATTCAATTTAGTAGTGCAACACTTACCGTCAAAAACGTAACAAACGAACCTCATTCATTTTGCTGTCGCCTATTCTTGAAGTCACGAGATAAGCGAGATAACAAACCCAGCATTAGCACGGAAGGGCAGACAATCTGCGTCGCATGATAAGAAAAAGAAAGGGGGAAGGGGGTAATCTAAAGCAGCATAAACAAGACTCCGGTTGCGCCTCTTGTTTTAGCCGGCGCAGAACGACACTGTGCCGACGGCCCCTAGATGTTCTCCGCTGCACCGACTTATTGGTTCCAAGCCGTGCTTTGAAACAACCGCCGCGGACTTCAGTCTCGGTTGAAACGACGGAGTGGTTCTCCAAGTTCAGAGTACAGGAGTGCCTGCTAAGGTGCGACCTACCCTATTTGGAACCCTCGTCCTTGAGTACCGAGCCTTCTACCACATGGCAGGCCGGTAGTCGGTTTTATTTTGAGGGGGTCCACCCCATGACAAACTGCCTTCCGAGAAGGGGGGAGGGGGGGGGGGGGGGGTCGACTTTGTTTGGGAGGTGGGGGGCGGGGGCCTCTTCGTCGTCCCCCTCCCCCCCCCCCCCCCCCCCTCGAATCCGCCCCTGTGTATGAATATGCATACAACCCCAATTATTACTTAGCCGCCATTCTCTTTCTATTTTGGGATTTGTTTCTCACCACGGCACAATATCCCACAATCCCTACAACAAATTCCAGGTAGTAAATATTCAAAATAAAACTTTGGTGAGTTCTTGTCCAAAGTGCAATTTTTATTAGGTTTCTGCTTTTGCAGAAGTATGTCTGATTCGTGACTGTCTCGCGTATCTTCACCTGGTTGGAGGTATTTTAACGAAGTGGAAAAATATTTAAGTTACCTTCACGAAAAAAAGGGTAAGGGGTAGAAGGAGAGGAGAGGGAGTGGAATTAAGGGCACCTTGGCACCGTCCAAAAGTGGTGTATGGCAGTGTGAAAGCCATATAAATGCATTCCATCAAATCATATCAAACAAAAAAATATTGTTTTCATTGGAGATTCCTGTTTTTCCCCGAAGAACTATTTCGACAATTTTCCTGTTTTGAAAGATGAGTCACGCAAGCGCAGTTTAAATTTTTGTTACAGAGGAAAGCTTATGTAATACTGCAAAATCGATTTTATTTACCGATGAGCGTAGTTATTAGGTACAACCACTGATCTCTACTATATATAGGGGGCTGAATGGCGCATTCAGCAAACCGCTATGAAGCTACAGGAAGTAAGCGAATTGTCCCGGAAGTAAGCGCTTGGCAGGCTTTCTAACCCTTCCGAATGCTGGTTCGGAAAACGTCGAGGGCGATGGATTTTCACTTGTCACCTCAAAAGAGTGTGCTTGTTGCGCAGTAAGAGCGCATGCAGACCCGACAAGTATCAGGGGAAGCTATTCAATGTAAAGATTTGGAGATTCTATAGTTGATCAAGTGTGCATATGTCCCAAGTTCAAATGCCGCATTTTCGGGATTTAATTTGGAGCATGATTATTAACACCCACTCAAAGACACCGCAAAGTACGGACCGAAATATCGACTTAGTGCTCTATACTTCGTTTCAGCTTCGGTCCGAGCGCGGCCGATGTTATGAGCCGAAGGGCCAATCAAACAGCGATAGAGGCACAACGTCATGGCGTGCTCTCTGCAGTTGATAGGACCAGTCGGTATTCGCCGTTTCTCTGTGCGTGCTCCTCCGCCGGCTAGTCCTATCAAGCGCAGAGAGCACACCATGACGTTGCGCTTTTTGCGCTGTTTGATTGGCCCTTCGGCTCAAAACATTGGCCGCGCTCGGACCGAAGCTGAAACGAAGTACAGGAGGCCCAGCAGACGCTCGACTTTTGGGACAAGCATCAAACTTCCGGTGGCTACACTTGCGCCCTGCTCAGAGAGCGGCTATGGTACACCTACAGCACATGACCCCGCATATAAGCCGCAAAAAAATTGCTGGCACTGCGTTGTGATCTTGTGTGATATATACACGTATATGTAAGGGTAATTGGACAAAAACTAACCTGACAAAAGCTCACCCGTTTTTTCACCAGGCTCGGACAAAAGCTCACCTCATTTTGTTTTTGCTTCCCCGGGCGAAACACGGGCTGATATAAAGTGCTGACGCGATGGACATTGCACCATTTTTAGGGGAACTGGCATCCCATCCCATTCAAAAGAGTCAACCGATAAGCCAAAACAGGCAGAGGAGCAATGATTTGGGACCAAAATTTAGGTCACTGAAACTGAGTGAGGCTGAAAAGATCAAGCTTGCTTCACTCAATGTATAGCCAGCCGGCAACGGCCAGGCGGCGCCAGCAGGGTGAGAGCACACGGTTATACCCTGTCTTGCTGTTACTTGGCAAAGGGTGAACGATAAGCCCCACATTGCGTGCCGAAGGCTTCGAAATGCGCGGCGTATATTATAGCGCAACGCACACATATTGGAGCATGACGCAGCGAAAAGCCTGATACTTCTTCGGAGTTGAGGCGCGCTCCGGCGATGCGCAGTCACGTTCCGATTGGCCCGCCAGGGCCGTAGCTTCCGCTCTACTGGCACGTTACACGATCACGGCTTCCTGGCATACCCAGTATTTCTTGCTTCAGACACTAGGCTAAGCGGCGCCACCAGAGTAAAAAGCTCACGTTTGAACAATGCAGCCGCCGCTCTCAGGGTTACCCAATATTTCTTGCTTCAGTCGCTAGATGGCGCCAAACCAAACAGCATTGCAGGTTGCCTATGCCAGAGCGCCCTTGTGCCACGCCCAAGAAACTTCGTGAACCGAAGTTTTTGAACCCGAAGAATATGACGGAAGAAGCAAAGTAACCCTTCGGTGACCTTCGGTGACTTCAGCGCGTGTGCTTGTCTTCCTGAGTGTCTGGTGTGAGATTGATTTTTCCTGCGCTGTCACCGTCAAGTATGGTTCACCAACTCGCCCAAGCTTCCATCCTATCGGTGACCTCGCTTTTTTATTGTGCTTATGTCACGCTAAACGCGCACATGAAAGTTGGGCACAATGCTTCTTCATTAATTACTAATGAGTGGGTTTTCTTGGGGTTCAGGTGAATATTTGAACGGAATGGCTAGGAAAATTAAATTCATTTCGTCATTGAGCGTCGTAAATGTATTTGAAATCAAGGATTATCTCAGGGTGTTGTTAAAAGGAAACTGAAGCAAAACGGTAATACACAAACCATTGAGTTGCGAGGTTTTAAAAATATTTTCAAGGAATGGGAGTGTGGCCTTTTGGACAGATGACCAATTTAGAAAGCTGTGAGGGATTTTGGAGAGGCTTGCGTTCCTTCCACCACAGCTTGTGCCCGAAGGACTAACCTACATCAGGGAAAAGTCTACCGGTGACATCGCCGACCTGCTAGACTACTTTGATTGCACGTATGTCAACGGCCCCTTCCGTTATGCTTCTGTTCCTTCTGCGGTGTCACCCAGAGCGAATTTTTCCCTTTGCCTGACTGTGCGCCGACGACGACCGGAGTTTCCCCCGGAACGGTGGAATATGTACGACGCCACTCTTCAAGAGAAAGACCGGGCATACACCTGCGAAGGATAAAATACCGGGCTCCAGAAGTTTGTCGGCCACGCTCATCCAAGCGTCTGGATGCTGATGGAATGCCCCATGAAGAATCAGGCGTTCGTTGCCATGGCATTGACACAAGCCCGCTGGAGTGAACCTCCAGAGAAGCGGGTGCGAAAAACTACTCTGCGCCTAGAGAATCGTCTGAAAAATATTTTCGAGGGGTTCCAGGTACACCTAGATCTACCAAGACTGCTAGCGCTAGTGGAGACTGCATTCGCTTCTAACCAATCGATAAATAAACTTGTTTCTACTCTAAACAACAAACCATGCGCCCGTCACATTTCATTTATCGTTGCATTTTAGTGCCGGACGCATGCACCTAAGTTGTCCGCACACGTGAAGACCAACATGAAATTTTCTCCTGGTGAGTTTTTGTCCGGGTCTGTGAAAAAATGGGTGAGCTTTTGTCCGGTGAGCTCCTGTCCGGTGAGCTTTTTTCCGGTAAGCTTTTGTCCGGGAGTCATAAGGGAAAGTATGTATGTGCGCAGCATTGTATAGTAGAATTTGTGCCACCTTCTGCAGTTAACATAAGCAAATATAAATATTTCTCAATTGACTGAAGTACAGTCAAAGTCAAAAGTATCCAGGACGCGCGAGCTGGGACTGAAACGCATTGCTCTGCCATCTGCCGGTGGG